CTGAGGTCGTCAGCAAGCACGTGTGTGCATGCTCTACTGCTCTGAAGTGACCCAAGGAGTTTCGGCATTGATGACGAGAATGTCTTTGCCTTCTGGATGGGGTCGGAGGTCGCTACTCTGTCAGCTCTGCTGTTGGCTGTCTTCCACTCGCCCTCCAGTACGGCTTTGACCAAGTGAACCAATTCCTCGAGGGTAACGTTGACTTGAATTTTCAGTTATTTTTATGTCACATTTTTCAGGTGCCCATCTGATGGATGAGCATTTCCGCCATACTAAGGACCTCACTCAGAACATCCCGGTCCTTATGGGCCTCATCGCTGTCTGGAACAGCACTTTCCTCGGCGCGACCTCAACTGCCATTCTTCCCTACTGCCAGGCTTTGGTGAGGTTCGTCGCTCATATTCAGCAACTTGATATGGAAAGTAACGGCAAGAGAGTTACTCTCACTGGCCACACTGTAGACTACAACACTGGTAATGTGAAACCATGCCCATATTTCTCCTCATTGTCGTCGTGGTTTTGATAGGCATGGTTCACTTTGGTGAGCCCGGCACTAACGGTCAACACTCCTTCTACCAGGAGCTTCATCAGGGCACTACTATTGTGCCCAGTGAGTTCATCGCATTCGCTAAGTCGCAGAATCCGATTAAACTTGCCGGGGAGCCCGTCAGCAACCATGATGAACTCATGTCAAACTTCTTCGCTCAGCCTGATGCTCTGGCTTTCGGTAAGGGCTTCGATCAGCTCGAAAAGGAAGGCGTAGGTTCTACAGGGAAATTATATGCGTGACATTGACTACCTTAGGTCCCCGCCGAGCTGATGGACCATAAGTTCTTCCCGGGAAACAGGCCCTCGTTACAGCTCCTTTTCCCCGGTACCTGCAATGCTACCTCGGTGGGAGCTCTCCTTGCTGCATATGAGCATCGCACTATGGTCCAAGCCGCCATCTGGGGCACTAACTGCTTTGATCAGTGGGGAGTTGAATTGGTGAGGAGCCCTGTTGAATTAGTACATATTCATTGCGATCGATCTCAGGGTAAGGTCTTGGCCAAATCTGTTAGAGGGCACTTTGCCAACCCTTCTGCTGGGGTTTCCGAGTTCTGCGGCTCGACCCAGAGGCTTCTCAAACAGTATCATCAGTGAGTCGTTATAGTGGAGGTTCTTGGCTAGGTTATTATGCACTTCAGGATGAAGTAAGGGAGAAGATCAGAATTGCCTTGCTTGTTCTGTACGTTATCATCAATCTAGATCGCCGTGTATCACGCGATTGTTTCACCGTCCTCCCGAAGCTCTCTCCTTACCAATAGGTGCCCCCAGCATTACGATAACTATTGAACAGAGGTCTGCTTAGGTCGTCTTGTGTTATGGTGAATTTTAAGACATGAAGTTGAGGGTAGACTGTGGCTACAGAATTTCCAGCTCGGGAGCGTATGGTCATCTGCCGTCAACAATATATTATGGTGGTTGCCGTCTTCGTTGAATTGAAGATGTTATTCAATTGATAATAACTCGGATACAGGATTTCTCTGCAGTGCCCCGGTATGTTTGTTGTTGGGCTTGCTCAGTATGACTTGAAGAGGCGTTTCAAAATTGCTCGTGGCTGTTGTTGTTATAGTGTGAGGAAAGTTCATCATTGATTCAGTTCAGCCATTGTGGAAGTGATTGATTCGTCCATTGGCCTGAGTGCCGACGAGGGGATATGCGGGTTTTCGTCAATGATCGGTGAGTCGCGTAGCATCCATGATTTTCGTTATGGAGAATACTCCTGAATCTGGAGGCTGGACTGTCGTTACGTTGGGGGGCGAACGCGATGGTGTCGTGGTGTATTTGGAGAGTGGTCAAGCGACGACGTCGTCGTCATGCAGGGTTATTGTCAGGTTCTGTGTTGATCTGAGTGATGCAGCGATTGGAAGGGGTGCTTTCAGTGAGGTCC